AGGGCAATGATTAAATAGGTGGTGAGGGAGCCAGCCTGATCCTCTGGCGCCGGGCTGCTGTGCCCGGGGAGGCGCACGTCTGACAAGTCCTTGAGCAGGAGCGCGCTCACAGCTGCCGTGGCCGACAGGGGCGGCTTGCCGTTGTCTCTGACCAGGACAAGGAGCTTCTGCCTCACGCTGTCTCTCTCCGTCACCGGCCTCCTCAGACGCACCTCCCCGCTGTGGACACCCACCGTGAACAGCCCTGGCTCGCTGGCCCTCAGCAGGTGGTACGAGAGCCACGAGTTCTGCCCGGAGTCGGCATCCACGGCCACCACTTTGGTGATGAGGTAGCCCGCCTCGGCCGACACGGGCACCAGCTCACTGGACGCTGGGCTGCTGTCCTGGCCTGGGTACAGCACGAGCGGGGCGTTGTCGTTCTCGTCCAGCACCACGAGGCGGACGCTGACGTTGGCTCTGAGGGGAGGAGAGCCCGCGTCAGAGGCACTGACCGTCACCTCCGTCTGCCTCAAGCGCTCGTAGTCCAGGGGCCGCAGCACAAACACGTGCCCGTTCTCAGAGTTCACAGACACGCACGAGCACCAAGGCCCCTCTGCCGCCTGCACCGCTGCCAGCGAATAGCTCACCTTGCCATTGAGCCCCACGTCAGCGTCGGCAGCGCTGACGGCTCCAACAAACACCGTGGGCACATTGTTCTCACGCACGTACATGGTGTACGACGTCTGGTTGAAGACGGGGGCGTTGTCATTGACATCCGAGATGTCCACGGTGAAGGTCTGCGTGCTCGTCAGAGGAGGCGACCCCGCGTCTGCCGCCGTCACCCTGAGGATGTAGCGAGCCGTCTCCTCGCGGTCCAGCGCGCTCACTGTCACCAGCTCATAGTAATTCTTATAGGCTGGCCGCAGCGAGAAGAAGAGCTGATCCTCGAGGCCACACGAGATCTTCCCGTTGGCCCCAGAATCCCGGTCCCTGACCGTAAACAGGGCAACCACCGTGCCGGGCGCTGTGTTCTCGGGGAGGGGACTGCTGAAGGAGCTGACCACCACCTCTGGGGCATTGTCATTCACATCCACCACCTCCACCAGCACTTTGCAGATGGCTGAGAGTCCCCCACCATCTCTGGCTCTCACACGCAGTTCATAAGTCTCTGCTTCCTCATAGTCCAGAGGTTTTGTGATTTTAATTTCACCCGTTATGGGATCAATCACAAATGCTGAATTGTTCTGTCCCACTGCTTGGCTAAATTGGTAGGAAATTTCCCCATAAACTCCTGCATCCTGATCTCTTGCCAGCACCGTTAAAACTACAGACCCTTCTGGCATGTTCTCCAGGACTTTTCCAAAATAACGCTCTTGTGTGAAGATGGGAGCATTGTCATTTGCATCTAGTATGACAATTTTCACTTCGGTTGTCCCAGTCGTAGGGGGAGAGCCCCCATCTACAGCAATAAGACTGAAACCTATCTCAGCATGCTCCTCTCTGTCTAGTGGCTTTTCCAAAACAAGTTCAACATATTTGTCATCCTCACTCCGACTTCCATAGGCAACACTAAAATATTCATTCTCGGGAGAGATGCTGTATGCCTGCACTGTATTGCTGCCAATATCGAGGTCCTGAGCCACCTCCAAAGGGAAACGCGAACCAGGGTTGCTCGTTTCAGGGATGTCCAAAGTCACTCGTTCCTCGGGGAAGACGGGTGAATGGTCATTGATATCCTCCAGAGCCACCTCGACCCGAAAGAACTGCAGGGGGTTGGAGAGCAGCAGCTCGAAGGGGAGCATGCAGGTGGCGGACTGGCCGCACAGCTCCTCCCGGTCCAGCCTCCCCGCCACGAGCAGGCGGCCGGAGCCGCGCTCTAAGGCAAAATGCTGCCGGCCGTCCTCCGACACCAGGCGGGCG